ATGTACTCATAAATACAATAATGTGAACAAATATAAATATTAACGACTTGCGAGGTAAGTCAAATATTACATTTTTGTAAATTTTTGAAAAAGAAAAGAATAGAGCAATATGGTGTTCGTGTTATCTTATAGAGTATATTTAATACCATACCCAACACAAGTTTAAAGAAAAAAATGGAGCAGTTTTTGAGAAAATCTTGTTTTAGTAATTTTTTTTAAATAGCGCAGATTGCACACAACATTGCGCGAAAAATGCTATAATTTTCATAAAATGTACACGACTGTAGTGAAAAAACTCATGATGGAGAACACATTTTATGTGAAGGAAAAATGTCTATCATCAATTTTGTAGTTATGGGAAGACACTGAAATAAATCATACTTTGAAATTTTCGAAAATTCAGTGTTAACCGTGAAAATCGGATCTATGCCACATTTATAAGTGTATTCTTACAAGAAATTTAAAGAAAAAATTTGATGCCTTTAAAAAAAATCAAAAAATCCGAGGGGCTCCATGTAAAGTATCCCCAAATTTTAAAGACTTTTTTCTTCTTCAAATTCTCCAAGATTCGACTCAAGCGAGATCGACACGGATTTCTTCAATTTGGTAAAAAATCCTACGTATGGTTTAGGCGCTAGTAGTTCACTGCCACTCGACGACAGGAGGTTAAAAAAAACACTTTTTTCGGTATCAGAGGATCCCAAATTGTATATTTCTGTCGAAATCTCCAAATCGATTTTCCGAAGGATTAGATAACTTTCCTTATACTTCGAATATTACTCCGTACATGGGTACCACGAGAAGAACCATGAAAAAGCACATAAATCCTACCAAAATCTCAGGACACGATCTTACAACCAGTGCAATATTAAAATAATTACCCAAGGAAGCCTTATCATGCATAACCTACATCTTCAATGCTACGAGTATAACAAGTATAACAAGTGAGAGCCACAATCTATGGAAGTATGCACAAGGGATAGGCATAGAAAAATCTGGAAAACCGATTACAGAAGGTGCATCATACAGACCAATAAGTCGTCTACCGGTTGTATCAAAGGTCTTTGATGAACTACTTCTACCTTAAACTTAAACCACTAATAAATAATACAATACCAGAGTTTCAATATAGATTTCGGGAAGGACATTTAACGATAGATCAGACCCATTAAATAGTAAACAAAATATCTCGAAGTCTCGAAGAAAAGAAATACTGTTTCTGCCGCTTTCTTGGACAGTCGACAAGCATTTGACAGGGTCTCATACGAAGGTCTGTGATTCAAAATCAAACAATTACTCCCACACAACACCTGCAAGCACACATGGACAAGATAGCAGAGTGGACAAGTCAATGGAGAGTAACTATAAATGCAGCAAAACAACAACATATTACCTTCTCACTTCGAAAGGAACAGTGTACAAAAGTGAAACTAAACTCGTCAGAACTCTGAGCAACAACTGTTGGGAGGTATCTTGGTTTACGTCTATATAGTTGCTTACCCTGGAAACCCCATATCATAAAAAAGAGGAACGAGTCACAAATGAATGTAAGCAAATTATCATGGCTACTTAATCGAAGATCTAAGCTCTCCTAATACAACAAAATATTACTGTACAAAGCAATAATCAAGCCAACATGGACTTAAGGCATAGAACTATAAGCAATTATAATACTTGTTGTGTAAATGAAATATGTATGTCGTCTAACTCGTTTTAGATTCATATTTCACGTTGTCATATATCGCCGATAAACATTTCCAACTTCATACAAAAATAATTATTAATTGAACTGTATGTTCGTACATAATAGGCGGATTCGTACTCGTAATAGACCGCCACGTTCTCGCCGAATAGCTATTTCAGTTTACGCGCTTAGCTTTCTGGATTTGCACTTGTGTGGACCTTGTGCAGGCCTGGACTAGACTACTGTGGCGTCGTTAACACGAGGGCCAGAACCGTTAGGTCAGTGAAAGTGCGGCTGGCCAGGGGAGGAAGGGGTTGAGTCTGAACTTCCGGGATTTTTGCGCTCAGGCAGTTGACGCAGACGCGTGCAGAGCCAAATTTAAACCTTAGGTTGTAAACTCCTAGGAAGACTGGCCAGCGAGCCTCGGCTTGCCGAAGCAAGGCGAGCCTACCTGGGAATCTTGTGTGGTGGGGGTGTAGCTCCCTCCTAAGATGCGGCTAGCGGGGGAGCGCTCGCTGGCCAACAGCAGGACGAGCGCATCTAGGGGAATTGTGAGGTGGGGAGTGTAGCCCTCCAACTATTTAACGCGGGCGCCATCTGCGCCCGCGTTCTCATTCAGTTTACATCGGAGAGAGTAGTACGCGTAGGTACAAGGAGGTAGGAGTGTGGGCGAGATGTCCGGAGTGTAAGGGCAGACGATCTCGGGTGCTTTCTGCACGCGGTCCGCCAGACGGCGACCGGTTTAAATTTTGGCATCAGGCCATGTGACGGTAATTGTCACGGGACGGGAAGTCCGACAGGCTCGCATCACGCGTGGTTCTTTTTTCTGATGTAAAGCAGGGTACTGGAAGGAAAAGGTTGCCGGAGTGTTTAAATTTAGAAATTTATTGTAACTAGTCTGTAACTTTTCAATATACTATTTTTATTTTTGTTATTTGAATTTATTCTCATTTCACTACGTCACACTACGCTCTCAGGCCTGGACTAGACTCCAGAGCTCCACGATGTGCAATTCGGAAACTCAGGTAATAGCAGTCGCGAATTCGAACAGAATCTTTTAAAATTCCGTTCATCACAACTCATACAACAGTTCACCTACGAAGAAATAACGAAATATCCATAGCAATCAGAGATTGATTGCTGCATGCAGTCCGAGAACCCATAATGAGATTTGTACAAATCACTGAAGGTGAAAAGTAATGATGGCGGAGGGGGAAGCCCTTAATGGCTAATAAATGATTTGGTTTATAAATCCATTTCTTCGGGGTGTGATAGTTCCCTGTTTGCGTGACTGCAATTCTTTCTTACATTGATACCGTTTTTTCTGGCATCGATCTTCGATATTATCTATTCTCCAATATCGACATGCTGATAGAGAAAACAAAAATATCGGCACCTCGAGAGGTGAAAGGTTAGTATGGTTTTTTAACTCACACACGCGAGTGAATCACGGTTAAGGTGCATGGATTATTGAAGGGCGATAAATCAGCAATAGGCAATGAAGTTACTAAATTATCGCGCGCAGGGTAAAATAATCCTCCCTAAAAGCCCAGGAAAATTCACTTCTCCCATATTTTCCATTGCATTGTTCGAAATGCGAGTGGATTAATTTGTGGAGAGTGGAGAAAACAACTGAAGCAAAAACACACGTCATTACGACATTTCGTTGTAACTTGTATATGATCAGCTGAATGGCTACTATCAACATATTCATCAGCTGGAGCATAAAATCAAACACTTCCCTCCCCTCCCCGCTCCGGTACTAAGCCAACCAACGGTACTACAGAATACCAGAGACTGTCGTATTAGTTATCCATTTTCTTTTGCTAGGCCTATGGACTTGCCACATACTCTTGCCAGCTGCCATCTATCACCACCCAAAGAATATTTTTTTTAAAAACCTTTCTCAATTTTTCGGTTCCTAATAGTATAACCGAAATATTACTTTAAGAACATTAAAGAAGAGTAAAACTTTGTCCTAAAAGGCATTTTCTTTGAAAAAAGTGGAGCCGTATTTAAGAAAATAGCGTTTAAGCGTTACTCTAAAAACAAAATTTAAAGCTCCTTTTCATACAAAATTTGAGTTTTTGAAAAACTTCATTGATAGTCATTTGAAGCACTTTCACTCACAAATGCAATAATGTACACAAATAATAATGTGCAATTTTTGAAAAATCAAACGAATATCCCAAAATATGTCATTTTTGTAAGAAATTATGTATATTCATGTAAGAAAAAAATTCGAGCTATTTTTGAGAAAATGGCGTTTGAGCGTATCTAAAAATGCAACATCTTTACAGAAAACTGTAGAGTTTTCGAGATTTTTTTACGAGTTAATTACTCGTAAATGCAATAATGTTAACAAATCGTCCTGCAAATATTAACATGAAAGTAAAAAAATTGTTAAATTTGGAAAAATCAAAGGAATAGAGCAATACGGCGTTTATGTCATATTAAAGTGAATTTGACACTGTTGCTGCCAAAAGTTTAAAGAAACAAATTGGAGCCGTTTTGGGAAAAATCCTGTTTTAATATTGCACCTCCTTCACGCAATATTGTGCGAAAACTACTATTTTTTTAATGTACATGACCTTAATAAAAAACGAAATGTGGAGAAAAAATGTATTTGAAGGAAAAATCTCTATCTTCGATTTGGTGGTTGTAGGAAGACTCTGGAAAATATTCAAACATTTCGAAAATTCTGAGCTGAGAGTGAAAAACGGAACTACGCCATCTGTATAAGTAGTTTTCTCTATTCTGTCAGAAAATTTAAAGAAAAATATGGAGGCATTTTTGAGAAAATTTTGAAAAATGACCCAGGGACTTCATTTAAAATACCCCCCAATTTTAAAGAATGTTTTTCAAAATAGCAAGCTGAGACAGATCGGCCGGGAATATCCATTTTGAAAAAAAAATCATACATATGGTTTAGTCGGTAGTGGTGTTCACAGATGTACAGACAGACGTTTTGCCGTCAATCCAGATTTCTGTATCAATGACCCACAAAACTGGGATTTGGCTACATAATGTGTTAAAGGATTTGTTTCCTTCTAAATTTAGCAACTGGATTTATTCATTTTTTCATTATCAGGGCCTGGCACATGAGAGTTTTTCTACCAAAAATTCACTGTTTTTCGCAGATCATTACGTAACTTTCTGTATACTACATATATATCTCCGCATATGACAACATACGTATCTCCATACATATCTACGTACGTATACGACAAAGTTAAAATAAGCGTAAAATTTTTATCTGCGTTCAGACAATCAATGAAGCAACAAGTACTGCAAGTGCACCGTAGAAGAGACTCACCTGAGGCTGCGATGAAGCGGCCGCAGGGGGAGACGCGCGCCGTGTAGGTGTGCATGAGGTAGGTGTCGACGCGCGCCAGCGGCTGGCCCTTGATGTCGCTGATGAGCAGGTCGGTGCCCTCGGAGCAGGTGAGCATGAAGCGGCCCGAGCACGCTACGCCCAGCCCCACCACGGCCTCCTCGTGCAGCTGCGAAGGGCGGGACGCCGGGTCAGCGGGGGACAAGGCGGGCGGCGCCGGGCCAGCGGGAGCCGCAAGGGCGAGAGGTGAACAAGAAGGGAGCCGAGAAGGCCGCGAGAGGTACGGGGGCCGCGGGGCCAGAAGGCAAGAAGGTGGACGGGGTGCGGGAGGCGAGGAGCAAGAGGGCTGCCCACCGCACGGGGGAGTGGGTGGAAGGGGGGGGCTGTGGAGCAAGAACGCGCGGACGCCACGACCTGTGCGAGAGTACTGGGTGCGCGTGGAGCAGAAATACAAATGGGCGGGGAGGCGGGGTCGCGGAGGGACGGGGAGTGAAAGGGGCAGAGAGGCGAGGTCGGTGATGACGGGGCGGGGAGATTAAATGGGCAGAGAGGCGGGGAGATGAAAGGGACAGAGAGGCGGGGTCGCGGAGAGACGGAGAGATGAAAGTGGCAGAGAGGCGGGGTCGCGGAGGGACGGGGAGATGAAAGGGGCAGAGGGGGGCGGTGATGACGGAGAGGGGACGTCGTGACAGACGGTGGAGGCGGGAGATGAAAGAGGGGCGGAAGGACGTTGTAATGTGAGAGGGGGGCGTGGGACGACAGGGCCGGGAGGTGGCGGAGCCGCTGGCGCTGGGAGCGGGGCCGGCAGGTAGGTGAGTGGGTGGGTGGGTGGAGTGAGATCGCGTCGCGCCGGGTCGCCCTTCCCTTGGCTGTTGGGCGCGGTGCGTTCCCTCCGTCCGCGGGGCTGCGGCCTCCGGGCCGCCGCGCAGGGGCACGCCCCAAGCAGAGCGCTGAGGGCACGGGCCCCACGCCTTCAAGGGGGACCGCTTTCCCCTTGCTACGCCGCGCTTTGTTAGTTCCTTCCCTCCCCTCTCCTCCCCTTTCCACTGCTCTACATGCTCTGAAGAAACTTTTTGACAGGATCGGAGCAAAGCAGTAACTAGAACTCGCTTTTGGACAATTGACAAGTGAACGATGAACATTAACAACAACAATGTCGGAAATATTTCGCGAAACCTACGAAATGTTGACACGTTTTCATCCGAACGAGAGGTCATACTCGATATTTTAAACCAAGAGAACAACAAATTAATAGAATTATAAGAACGATTTGTATATCATGTTTTTAAACTGTAAGAGCTTCAATTTGTTTACTTAATATTTGCAACTGCCACTGGGAGTCCTTAGATACAAAGCTTCCAGTCCGACGCCTTAAATTGCCGTTGCCTTAAATTACGCGATAACAAATTACAATTAAAGCAGGTGTTCCTCGTTTTGAAGCAACAAGAAAATAAACTATTTCAGAAAAAATCTTAGACATTTGAATTCCAGAAACAGTTACGAATCACATTTCACGGATTCTTTCAGTTTGGCGGGATGTCTCCTTCAAGAGTTGTACAAACCATCACCACAATTTCCAAACAGTGGAAACAATAATTCGTATCTCATAGTACACGGATGACGACTGATGTATCATGCTCTAAAATGGCATTTTGTGCAATGTGTACTACATGTGAAGACACCTTTATGTTCTCAGGTCATTACGAGTCTTAGAAAAGTGATTCAGTGCAAGAATATCTACTGGTGCATTTCTAGTAAAGTTTAGATTAATATACATTTTTGGTTTATATTTATAATATCATGAGGATAAACTAGAAAGGGGAGATATGCCTTTATTAAGCTGAAAATATAAACATGTTTCTCACAAACCTAACTTTCCCTTTACTATATTGATGCATAAAATCACAACAATGGTATTATTTAAAATAATCCAACTACCATCCTTTACCAATTTTGGTTGAACACAACGTACTAAATTAATAATATAAATTTACAATATGTTCTCTACTTAACAGTATAAAGCAAAGCAGCCTCCATTGGAGTGCGCGATGACGTTTAATGTTGCCAATATAAATGTTAATTCGATATACGATTCAACATTCTTGCCAAAAATATTCTATCCTTCCTATAAGATCTTCACACAAATCTAGTATTTTGTGTCTCAAGAATATTCTTATGATCATTTTTACAGCTTTTTTGCGACTTAAGGGCAGGAGTGTAAAACTAACAGTGTAATTTTTCAATGGGTAATTCAGACGAAATCGGTCTGAATATTATCTCAAATGGCAAGCGATGTACGTACGAAGTTCATATTATCAGCTTATCACGTTCTACTGTAACCTCCGGAGATCCCGGCACCAATGTGTCCGACCACGTTTCCAGTACTACTTAAAGGTGATAAACCATAAGCCCCTTCAGTAATAACAGGAGGATAAAAAACGGCGATAACATATCGCATTATGGCTCATCTTTTGTTGCATGAAATGTCACAGTACGTGAAAGGGAACAAGTTAAAACTTTAAGACAGGAAGCCACGTAGAAGATTGGATGCAAGAGTAAATAGTGTTATCTGCATATAAAAGAGGATTGAAGAGATAAGAAGGAAGTAAATAAGTAGCACTAAATGTTTACCCTTTTACTTCCTACGTGTCTAATCAGGAAGGAAGACGATGCTACATGAGTTTCCTTTTATCTACGAGTTGTAATTTAGTTAACTTTCCTAGCCGAATAATCATTGGCTCTAAACATTTTCCAAGAGTGGGGACCATCATTTGTTATCACGTGCCTCATTACGTGTAATAACTGAAATTGAACCGAAATAACCTATGAATCAGATCTCGAGATAAAATGTTTATTTCAACATTTTCATGTGTCAAGAGTTGACATTCTATCACAGGTTTCCACCATAATGTCAAGTATTGTTAGTGTTTTGGAATGCTAACAATGTTTAAAATTATGGGATTTAAATTACGAGGAAAAAGTCAATGAAGATGATGGCAGAAATGGAACTGATCGGGTAAGATACGAGATGAAAATTCGTATTTCAGAACAAACGAAAATCATGCAATTGCATCAAGCTGATCCGAACGAAAAAATATATTTATACAAAAATCTGCCGTGCAAACTGACAGGAAAAATGCATTAACGTTTCGCAATTAAATTCCTATTAGCGCAGATTCCCTGTGCCACGGAGCACAGAGCATCGCAGGTTGGGAACCGTTGTCTTAACGTGTGCCTTGAAGCTGGCGACGCATTGTGACAGCGAGGCATGACGTCACCGCAGCGTGGACAACGTTCCCTATTCTCAGTCACGGCTCGTCGCGATCGCCGGGCCACCTCCCCGGCGCCAAGGGCGCGTCGCTTATGGTCGGCATAATCGACTCGCTCCTCCGACACCGCGCGATTGTCGATTGAAGGTCGTGGCGCAGGTCCTCTGCCGCACCTGCACGGGCAGTCGCGCCGCTCGTTTGCACCCTTTGTTTCGCTTTGCCCGCGGGGCAGCGACGGTAGCGGGGAAGAGACGTTGCGCCGAACAAAAGTGCGCCGTTTCCAACTTTCCGGGTGCGGAGGTCGGCATTGTTTGACTGAGGTCTGCTCCGTCATACCAACCTTTTTTCCATCATTCGTCTATCATCTGTGACAATCTCGAAATTGAGCTGCACAACCGCCTACATATTTAAACGGGCCGTGGGATCCATGACAAATTACAGTTTAGTTTTTTGATTATTTGTAAAATCGTTTTGATAATGACTACCATTCAAATATTTTTTTTCTTTTCCATATAACCCGTCGTGTTTAGCTGACTCACGAAGGAAGGATAGGTGGGATGAGTAGGTTAGATAGGGTGGGTAAGGATAGGTGGGGCGGTTAGGATAGGTAGGATGGGTACAGATAGGTGGGGCGGTTAGGATAGGTAGGATGGGTACAGATAGGTGGGGCGGTTAGGATAGGTGGGGCGGTTAGGATAGGTGGGGCGGTTAGGATAGGTGGGGCGGTTAGGATAGGTAGGATGGCAGGGTTGATAGGGAGGAGAGTAGGGGGGAGGGTCATTTGGGTTGGTAGCATTGAGTGGATTGGGTGGGTGTCATGATTTATACTAAGCTCGACGACTTTTGTCTCTCCCTTAACTTTCAATCAACAGAATTCGATGTTGGAAGAACTACCCGATCGATTTTCACTGTCGTACTGTTTTAAAGTACAGTGAAACTTGCTCCAACGGCCACCTTCATTAAGAAGCCAAATCTATTAATGGCTATCTTTTCATGGAACCGTCGGATTTTTCTCAAGATACGTGCAAATATTCCCTCATTCCGGCGGACACCTGCTTAAGCGGTAAATGGCCAGACACATTTCGTACATGGACCTTCATTAAGCGGTCACCTCAAGCGATTTTGAACGCAAATCCCACAATAAAAAAAAGTCGATAGTTGGTGATGATTACCATTGATTTAATATCTTCCTGTGTAGCAACGCATCAGATTACTTCACACTATGACATCCAGAGAAGCTTATCACACAGGGGCTCCATTTCTGTTACACATAATAACACCCGATTTCAATAAATATCTGTCGATGAAACAATGAGGCATTCGCATCGCTCATTTTTCAGCATTCCCAAGGTTTCTGAATCTACCACGGACTCAGACTCCGTCTGCGCGAATCCGATGTGAAGTCTGACGTCCCTGCTGAATTTCATCTTCAAGACTAAAGTACTTGTTCGATTCGGTGAGGACGGAATGTGAAATTATTTGCTCGGCTGTCCTGAGGAAGGTCGCAGAATGGCGACCGAAACGTCGGTACCTTCGCCATGGACGCAGCGTCACCCGGACAGCCAAGTAAATACTGACTCCGGCCGCGGACGCCTAAGCTCTGGGAATGTGAAATTCTCATCTAAGAGAACGGGCGACAACTCAAATTTTGATATTAGCCGAGAAGAGGCAAACGAATAAGGCAGATGCCTTATTTACACAGAACTTAGTCATTTATAGTAACCAAAAATGTTAAAGAAAACAGATTTTTTATAGCAATTAACACAATTAGATTTGATGTATGCTTCCAGTAGCTTCATGATCTTGATTAATTGGCCATCTGAATTGATGATAAATATTTGATGGAACATTGCTGAACGCATAAAACAGGTGCCATAAAAATAAAATTTCCTAGCAAGCA